TAGTGTTCGTAAAATATCGTCCTAATATTTCATAACGCTTTTATTTTTAACAGTTAATTATTATAGAAAGATTGATTACTCCTGTGAATATGCATTACGCCAATTGTGTTTTTGCATTAAAAATGCGTTTCATTACCTATTCGTCAAAAAACGTCTTATAAAAACATCGATCGACTACAAGCACTTATTGAAACAAAAAAGCAATATAGATAATATTTTTTAATTTAGAACTTAATAGCGTGTGAATTATGAAATAATACAACTGAAAAGTTGGCAACTTAATATTATTTATATGTTTCTCCATATGAACAGCGGCTACATTAGAAAATGATGAACTAAGGTCAGGGTCTTCTGTATCAGCCTTAAGTATATTCAACATTTTCCGTGATCGTGACATGTCTAAAAATATTTTTTATCGAGCAAAATACGTGTTACATTATTAATTTAAAATCAAACAGTAAAAACCTAAGCGCTTGACACAAAGACGCCCTCTCTCCAACAAGTCCAACGAACAGCGGCCGGACTGACGAACGAACAGTGCGGCCGCTCCGTGCGGGCCGGCGCTTGATCACTCCGTACGTTTTTATGCGGAGCTAACGACAGATAGAACGTTATTCAATTATATATTTCCGAAACTAAATGAGATACAAAAATTCCAAAAACACACGTCCGTAGAGTTCGTATCCCTTATTGCGCCTAGCTATATAACTCGTTTTTGCTCTATGATCACATCGGACTTTGTTCTGCGGATGAGTCGATTTGCTTGCGATTTTTTAGAACTCTTGGGCCTATAATCGCAGCACACCATCTTTCTTAAGCAATTTCGTTACAATTCATTTGCAATACTAAAAGCGAAAGAATTCTTTCGTTTGTCTTACAAAATGATTCTGCGAAGCACTGTTCTTGAAAGAGCTAGTGTTAGCAACGTCCTCAGGTTAGAGCACCTACACGCCCGGTGTATATAGACCCCTCGAGGTCACTTATTCTAGTGAAAGATAGGAAAAGGAAGGTAGGAAAAAAAAACTTACAAAGTGTCCTCGGGGTACCCTGTAGGGATATATGCAGCGTGGATTGGGGAACACTTAACTTCACGACCTATTGTTTTATTTTAACACGCACGTAACATATGGTTTTCTTGGGTCTTGGATCTGTCTCTTTGGACAAATTAGACCAACGTAAAGTATTGTGAACACTTGGCCGAGAGTTGGATTCGCGTGCGTTAATAGATGAAATCAAATTTCCCGACTATATAGGACTAAAAAAGAGGCAGTGGTAAAATTATAATTTATTGAAAATGAATATCAATCGAAAACTCATAGTAACACTATTGGAGTTGTTTAGTTTCTTAACACATTTGTTACAGCAAAAACTTTGTACGTACATTACTAGAATGGCTCTCGATTTATTTTATTACTTGCTCAAATCGCTCTTATTGTCTGAGCCATAATGACTACTTTTAACTACGAAGTAAATGAGGTCGGGAAACTTACGTTACTTGTTGAATTAATGGCTTTGCAACATTTTATAACGACTAATAATAGTATTTGCTGTTTTCATTCGTGAAACAGCTGCCCTTGATTTGTTGGTGTGGATTTCTAGGTAGGATTGGTAGATGTTAACAANCTTGCTCAAATCGCTCTTATTGTCTGAGCCATAATGACTACTTTTAACTACGAAGTAAATGAGGTCGGGAAACTTACGTTACTTGTTGAATTAATGGCTTTGCAACATTTTATAACGACTAATAATAGTATTTGCTGTTTTCATTCGTGAAACAGCTGCCCTTGATTTGTTGGTGTGGATTTCTAGGTAGGATTGGTAGATGTTAACAAATCATCCTATTTATACTGGCTGAGCCTTTGCTCGCCCATCTATACTGGTGAAACTGTAAAGGCCTTCGGGCAGCCAGTGATCCTTCCTTCCTAAAAAATAGCATTTACTGCTATTGGCGTTGCTTTTACAACAACACAGATTACTACTAAGTAATCTACTAAGTACTAAGTAGTTTTAGCTGCGTAGTTTTACTGTGTCTATGTGTGAGGACTTTTTGGCGGGAACGCGAGGAGTGATGTTGTGTGATTTGTTTTATTTGGTCTATTTAGTGTTTCTTCAAGTTTAAATGTGTAATAATGATGGTTTATTAACTGTTTAATATCTGTGAAAGTGCACAAATGTGGGAAAATTAAACAAAGCCGCTGGGCGTAACTTCTCGCGATTCTCCAAAAAGTCCACTGAAAAAATCTTAGTAAATGACCACCGTTTTACTAAGATTATATTTCCACCCATATCATCACATCTCATCTGATTTCATTTAATTTCATCCCAGTTGATTAATGTCTCAATTTAATCATCTTCATTTCATTTCGTTTCACTCCATATTATCATTTTTCATAAAAATAAGAATATAAATTAAAATAAGACATGACTTAAAGGTCTTAGTTACCAGGTCATAAAGTCCCTTAAAAAATCAATGTGTGATGAAAGCTTTAATTCAAGTGACGGCCTCCTAATGTCCTCTTTGCCCAAGTTCAATTACTGGACTAGAGTAACGAACGTCCCCACAAGCTTTGAATAAGGGTCCAAAAGCGCAATGTAAATGTCGTTTTTGAATGATTTGAAACACGGGCTGTTTCATTCTTGAAAGTCTAATTATTTCGCGCCAAAATATGGCCCGTAACCGTTTGTGTTTAAAATACGCCCCATTATTGATAAAGTCTCTTTCATCGAGTAATTCTTTGAAACTTGACATAATAATTCATAATAAAACATTTGTTCGGATACACAAGCGATTTTTCAAAAAACAGTGTGTTACCGTATCAAAATTGTTGATAATACAAATTTTTTGGTTTTTTCCCCTCCCCAAATATTTTTTTATCATAGTAAAGCACAGTAGTTACCTCATTAAAAAGAAGAAAGATATTATCAAAATAACTACAACAATAAAGCTTCAGCTACCATGAATAATAAAAAATTAAAAGCAAATTGAAATATATCAAAGGAGACACGTAATTCACAATTTCCCGGACAATCTATAGCATAGGGGGAGGGTTTTTCCGGAGAAGCATTTTAGGGAGAGTCAGCGTAATGCATTCGTATCGTGGGTTGTATCGACAAAAGGCACGTTGTAGTCGGCCCGCTTCCTATCTAAAGGAATTTATGCCTTCCGGTCGGCGTGATGGCGTTCTTGGTAGGGCCATAGAAATGGAGTCTCAATATTTTTATTAAAATATTTTTATGCTTCTTTTTAACATGAGTGCTGGATGGTAGAAGACAAGAGCCGTGCTCAGTGGCGTGCGATTGGAGAGGCCTATGCCCAGCAGTGGCCTGCCAAAGGTTGACTGCCAATTTTTGGGTATTACGCGTTTCCGAACGTGTTTTGCTTTAAGGTCGAATTCGAAAATCGAATTTCGAAGGGGTTTGTTTTTTTCACTCGCTTTTTATATGCATATGAAAGAGACAGAGCACAGTAAAATGCGAATGTTTCAAAATTATGGCTGAACAATGTAAATTCGTGGCACTGAAGATTGAAAAATTAAAACGCTAGCTACCCACGCTCGAATCAAAATCGCGTTTTGTTCACTGTTGTCTCGCAGCAAAAGCGGCATGTTTGAGCTGCTGAGGTGAAAAATAATTTTCATTTTTGGATCACTGCAGCATGACAAGCGAACCTCGTGGCCAACCATTTGTTTCTCAAAAAGGAAAAGTCGCTTTGTCTTGTTTTTATCAGCGAAGAAGTTCGCTTCTGTAAAATGATTGATCATAATCATCAGTCGTCTCTTTGTCAAAGGCAGTGTTGTTACGTCATTTTATAAATAACTTCATTAGATAAAATAAAATGTTTGTTTTAAAGAATAACAAAAGGAAATTGTTATTTATGTTCTTCCTATTTGTTATTCCACTTGGACACAATATTAAATAAAAAAATTGTAATCTGATCTGATAGTTTTTCAAACAGCTATATGCATGATGCCACCTTCCTTTAGAGCGATGGGTCTTAAGAGCTGCAAATCCGGACAACAATTGTATTTCAATTTCGTTTATCAGCCGTTTATAATTTTAATTTTATCTTTAACATTCATTGCTTAGAATTTGGCTTTGGGCCATCTGAAGTGGTTCTTGGAGCTTTGAACGCCCCTATTCACCATGCGATACATAGCTGAGTTTCATTTTTAATATATAATGTCTGTTGGACCTTTCAAGCTGGTATGGATCAGTGCTTCGTGGAAGCAAGACCGGTAGCTACCCGCATGGGTCAATGCGCCAAAAGGAATAAAATATTCATGATATATGTTGATCGTCATGATGAATTGAGTTGTCTTATATTTCTGCCACTTAAGAAGGTTTTAGATATGTAGGTACTATAAGGCGATGCTGTCGCCTTAATGATTCAATGTACGAAAACGTAATCATATGTTCCATAGTTTATTTATGAGAGCGGCTGAGGGCTTTCTTCAAGCCTCAGTTTGAAAAGGATTTGTCATCATGGTACTCGGGAAACACCGTAGATTGTATCAATTACAATTGATTTAATATAAATAATTATAAATTAGAGCAAAGATGCATTGCTTATATTTATCAATTAACCCTTTTTTGTTATCGGGAAGCCGTAATGTTTGGAATTAAAAATGGCATCTGTTATTGTTGTGTTTATATATACAAAAATCGAGTCGGATCGCGAATCTCGTTGCTGAAAAAATCGTTTGAAATACAACCGTGAAATAAATTCAAAGTTAATTAACATGAAACTTTACGACTTCTATCAGATAACGCTGTACAGAAATTTCTCAGAAACTAACATTAGGTTTAGTTCATGGTATTCCATGATAAATTTTCTTTCTCATCAAAATGACGTTCCTAATGCAAATCGTAATTACGTTAACTTTAGTGTTCATTAAAATGGTAAGCTTTTTTGTCACTTACGAACTTTCATGATTATTTATTAATATTTGAAGTTAAAGTGATCATCAAGTATCTTATTATTTAGAAACTGTGACTTTTATTCCTATTTCATTAAGATACATTTTCCTTTAAAAGTATAATTGGGAATGACAGTTAATATTTGGGAAAACCCCATAAAAATTCTGCTAACACACTTTGTCTACCAACTAAAGCTTCCGGGCTTGTTTTGTAACTCAAATTTAATACAGAACAGTCGAATATAATAAATAAAACTGGAGAAGTCGATTTAAAACATACTGGAATTACACAGTCAACGTCAAATGTGTTCGAAAAGCTGGATCCGAGCTTCCACATAGTCCACGAAGCTTACACGATGGCGAAAACGATTTTCGAACAAGGACGTAACAACTACGTAGTCCTCAAGAACAGATCAAGGAGAACGATAAACACGTTTCTGGATTTAGTTCAGATCATGAACGAGGAAATGAGCAGAGAGCTAAGAACGGCAGTGCTGAAGTTCTACAAGATCAGTTACTTCCGCGATTTCTCCAATTACATGATCGCGATGGAGGAGGTAGGCTTTTGCAATGGCATTGTATGTAATTAATACTTTTTTCGATCGAGACTCAGACCGCGTGGTACAGTGGTAATTTTTTTTATTTTTTTTATTGCTTAGATGAGTGGACGAGCTCACAGCCCACCTGGTGTTAAGTGGTTTCTGGAGCCCATGGACATCTACAACGTAAATGCGCCACCCACCTTGAGGTATAAGTTTTAAAGATCTCAGTATAGTTACAACGGCTGCCCCACCCTTCAAACCGAAACGCATTACTGCTTCACGGCAGAAATAGGCAGGGCGGTGGTACCTACCCGCGCGGACTCACAAGAGGTCCTACCACCAGTTCCTATTCAAATGGATAGCTAACGAAGCTTGCGCTATGTCTATGAAAGACCTCACCTCTCCTAGGTTGATGGTACCAAAACAAAAATCTTCCCTGAAATGCTAACAGCAACATATCTCATCACGGTTGCATTTTTTTTGTTTTTCTGGGCGAGCGCTTCTGTCCAGCCAAGGTTAAGTGGTTACCGGAACCCAGAGAGTCACAGCGTATTTTCGGTAATCTACCGCCTGTCGAATGTACTGAGCAACCTCATTAATGCTCTTCTGTCCAAATCCTGTGGAATCAGATCACGGAACAAGGGGAGCAAGTAGAGATTTCTTACTACAATATCGACAATAATAACTTCTTACTACAATAATTAAACGCTCAGACAAAGAGTCAACAAATCTGTTTATTACACGGATGTTTTGTCCGATTTTGTAACCGGATCCACGACCTTCGATCCTACAATCTGGGAAACTGCATCGTACAAGTGCACGAGTTAGTACTAAAATGTCATCAGCTTCGAGGTGGAGTGGGAGGTTGTCTGCAAAGCACGGCTCATGCAAGGGTTCGTGTTAGCCACGTCGTCAGGTTTGAGGCCCGTGTGCTCACCTACTAGTTAAGGTTACGCTGAAAATATAGCCTCTCAAGGCTATCAGCTTAGGTAGGAAAAAAAAAGCGAAGTTCTGGTAAATAATGATTTAGTAGAGTTATTATTTATTTATGAGCATTGATACGTCCATCTCATTGAAGGTTGGCATTATTTACGTAACGGTTTCCATAACGCAAATCGACTGCTTAATACGCGATGGGTTTTAAATTCATCTAGCCAAGGACGTCTATAAGGTCGTCACCTTATTGAGATTTTGACCGAAAAATTCTGACACCAGATAGTGGATATAGTGGAGCATTGCCTTCAAGATCCCGTGGAGAAGTTGGATCAGGTTCGAGCGCAGTTTCACGAAGTCATCGAGAACTTCCAAGACGTGAGGAATTTTCAAACAATAGAGAGCTGCCACGCTGAGCTTCCCGATGAGGTGGCTGTGGCCCATTGTTTGTTACACCAGGCTGTGTTGTGAGTACTAGCGAATAGTTTTGTGTAAATATATGATACGTTCGTTGCTTCGCTTCATATGTCAAGTTTTCATAGTATATCTACTAAATTTTTATTGATTAGATGGGTGGACGAGCTCACAGCCCACCTGGTGTTAAGTGATTACTGGAGCCCATAGACATCTACGACGTAAATGCGCCACCTACCTTGAGATATAAGTTCTAAGGTCTCAAGTATAGTTACAGCGGCTGCCCCATCCTTCTAACCGAAACGCATTACTGCTTCGTGGCAGAAATAGGCTACTCGTGCGGACTCACAAGACGTCCTATTACCGCAAAAGTATCCCAGGACTTGAATGACTTGAATGACAGCCGTTCTACTGTAAAAACGGAGGTCTTAGAACTATTATCAAAAGGTAGGTGGCGGCATATCAAATCCAAAAAATATTTTATTTTTATTTTTTTATTCAACATAAATGAAAGTATAAAAAGAACTACCGCCAAATAACAAAAACAAGCCTCCATCCTGAGAAGAACTGAAAAGAAACTCAGCGGGCATATCTTTTTTTTTAAATATTAGATATATTTTTTTAATATTAGATTTTTTTTTAAATATTCATTTTTACGATGATTATTATAACGTGAAACCGCATTTACGTTGTAGATGTCTATCGGCTTTTTTTTTATGGGTTCCTGTAACCACCTAAGATCAGGTTGGCCGAGAGCTACTCCATCCACCTAATCAATAAATAAAACAACGTACAGTCGCTTATAAGCTTAAAATACCTTTAGATGTCTTCTTTCGTAGGCTAAATCAAACGATGCAGGAGAATCTGGTGAAGATCGTTGAGATTAAAACAAGACAGCACGCTCAGGATATGAATTATACGATCCACGATGTCCGGAATTGTTTAAGGGGTTTCGTTCCTAATTTCTTCAATCAACTCCTCTCCGATTCTTACACGAAACAGTGTGTACTCCTCAAGGTCGTGACCGCGTCTATAAATGACATGGTCAAGGAAACTTGGGGCAGTAACGGAACTCTCTTTCCTGATAAATGGCGACCCTTGATCACGATTTTAAAGAAGAAGTAAGTTCTCATTGCAATTCAACGGCATATAAAAATTCTTTCAGGTCAGATAGCTCATTTATTGACGAAGGCTATAAGCTATATAACATCACGCTAAAACCAACACAAGTGGAGCACCAATAAATAATTTTTCAAAATCGGGGTATTTTTCCCTTTTGAGAGCTTCCGCTGTGTGCGCTATGGTAACGGTTAAAGTTTCGCTAAAATAATTTATGAGAGAATTGTTCCCCTTTAAAAGATCTAAAAAAAAACTGCGACAGCATATGTCTATATATTAAGATTGGCTTACTATAACGTTTTTTATGCTAAAGTTTTACATTTTCACTTTCTACGTAAATGAAGAGGCGGGTAAAATTTAGCGTTATGCCAAAGTAACTATTCCACGCGGACAAAGTCACAGGCAAAAGCTAGTTTAATATAAGAGAAAAGTCAAACACGGTCATTTAAACCTAAAATGGGATTCCTTCTATCACAGTAACCAGTTTATTTTTACCTACCTATGCTGGATAGCCTTGAGAGGCTATTTTAGCTTCGCCCCAACGTTTGTAGGTGAGCTCACGGAGCTCAAACCGGGGAGTTGCTAACACTGACCCTAGCAAGAGCAGTGCTTCGCAGAATCTACCACCGGATCGGAAGCGCGACCCACTGAGAAGATCCGGCGAGAAACTCAGTGGGCTGTGTCTGTGGGTTAATTCGCTCGTCGAGCCCTTCGTCGCAAGCGACCGGTTCGAAGAGGACGGTGACCGGCGGGAACCAGAGAAACTAAACATACCTATATACGCTATACATACACATAAATATAAACATATAGATATATCAAACAAGTTTTCAAGCGGTGTCCCTCCTCTTTGCGTCGATAATACTCAATGCTGAGGGTCGTGGCCGCCTCTAACAACTTTCTCCTGTATTATCCTGCGCCATTCCTGCCTATCCTCGGCTGGATAGCAACGTCGCAGCCGTTATGCAATTGATACTCAGATCTCATATCTTGGGGTGGTATTTGGCATTCACATTTTAATATTTATGGGCTTCGGTAAACACATAACACTGGGTGTACTTTAAGATTGTCTTGAGGTGACCATGACTTCATTTTACACCTGCATTGACCAGAATACATAGACATCATAAAGTGAAGCACCCTAAAGTGGTTTCGATAGTAATATGTATGTAACTGCATAATGATGTTATTCAATTTAATTGTTCAATTTCAGAGCGAGCGTCCCAAAAAGCACTTTGAAGGAATCGTTATTTTCAACGTTGAAAGCCGTAAATTTAACTTCATCTGAAATCGTACAGTCTCTGTACAAATTCATATGAAACTTTGAAAGTGTGTCGCGTCGAAAATGTTATTAACAAAATTATCTGACGCGTTTGTTAAGCGAACTACGCGAGAGGGTGTGAGTTCGAAAAAGAAGAAAAGAAAAAACGCTCTGAGTTTTATTTCGAATTGTTTCATTTTCAAACTTTCCATTTTTTTTACCTTTTTTATTTTTTTATTGGTCTTCGTTCTTTTTTTAATTCCCTGCGTAATGCTACTACTTCGGGGGTTATATTATTAGCTGTAATGTGCGTGAGATCTTAGCAATTACAGATGCAGACACAAAAATTCATTTCTCGCTAACTTTCGAGTCATAAGCTTTAAGCTAAGACTAAACGCGTGATAACTTTCAGCGCATGCTCACAAGTCCACCAGTAATTACGCAAATTATATATGTTCTGCGAATTTGATTTTTGTCATACGACTAGCCGTACACCATAGACATTTCAAATTAACATTATTATTTATTGTCATTATCATTAGGGAGTCCAACACTCATATAAATATTAGCCTATCCATTAAGTACATGTATTTTCTACATGTACACCAAGTTTTAAGTCAATCAGATGCACAGTTCAGTAGTTATAACGGAACATCCGTAAACACCACTGTAGATTTAAATATTAGTATAGACTATAGATGTTATTTCATGTCGGGCCAGAAATGTGCTTAGTTCACGATGCCATGCACCCAGTCGACCAAAGCTTGAACTTGCGCAAGCTCATCAACCAGAAAGCTATTCAGAGAGGTCATGATCCACAGAATTGTGGTTTATCGAATCAAGGAGGAAGAGTTTAATCCTCCATCGCGAAAGTCATTGGTGAATACGTGTTATATACGCATGTCATAAGAAAAAAATAGTTCTTTCCCGTGCGATTTCAGTATCGTCACAGTAATATCGCTCGATAATAATACACAGGGAGGGCGTCTTACGTGAACGCAATTATAATTCATACATATTTTTGTTTAAGAGAGAGAGAGAGAGAGAGTATTCTTTATTGTACACCAACAAAAGAAAGAATGCGAAACATTAAATACAAAAAATGTACAATTAGCGGTCTCATCACTAAGAGCGATCTCTTCCAGACAACCAACCAGGTGGAAAAGAATCGTTTGGAAACTAATTACATGCTGTGTACCAATCAATTGTTAATTACGTTTATGTAATTAAATTAATTGACACTATACAAGTAATCGATAAAGTCGGAGCCATTACTGAATTCGAGCAAAATATTTATGAGTAGCCAATCAATATCCAGGCAATGTTCGGAAAGTTTTAAGTAACTGAACAAACCCCAAGGGTCAGGCAGCTAAGCACAAACTAAGTAAGCATTTACTTTACTCAAGTTACATTTTTAATAGGCCACGCTCCCTGAATCCCTTAAAAATAACTTCAATTTGTTAAAAATAATCAAATGTGTTTTATACATAGTTCTCTTTTATTTATTTATATTGCATAGATAGGTGGACGAGCTCACAGCCCACCTGAGGTTAAGTAGTTACCGGAGCCCATAGACATCTACAACGTAAATGCCGCCACCCACCTTGTGACATGGGTTGTAAGGTCTCAGTATAGTTACAACGGCTGCCACGCCCTTCAAGCCGAAACGCATTACTGCTTCATGGCAGAAAGAGGCAGGGATATGGTACCTACTCGTGCGGACTTACAAGCGGTCTTACCACCATTCTACTCCAGTCTACTCCTAATATCGAAATTGATTACTGGCCTGTGGTAGAAACATATCTTTCACTAAGCATCAGTGATTCTTGAATGATCAGACTAGGTACAGTCATCTAAAGACCAACCGAAACATAAGCACTTGTGAGTCCGCACGGGTAGGTACCACTAGCCTGCCTATTTCTGCCGTGAAGCAGTAATGCGTTTCGGTTCGCAGAGTCGGGTAGCCGTTGAACTGTAAATCTGAGACTTCAATTCATCTCTCTGGGTGGGTGGCGGCACTTACCTTGTTGATGGCTATAGGCTCATGACTATCTAACGTCAGATAGGTCCTGAGCTCACCCATCTAAGTAATAAACAAAACTCTTATCAAGTCTAGAATATAATATCAAGGTACAATGCAATATCCCGCAGGCATGTACCGATTTAAAAAAATACGTCCTTAACACTAATGACTTCCACGATTAAGGAATTACATGGATTAACATATGAAAATCTTATTTTTTTTTAAAGAAAATCGATAAATCTTCATAATTACTAGTGGTGGGGCGTATTTTGAGGCTGCACAAATTAGTAATATCTGCCGCGAATAAAATCAAACCATCGCGATGTTTTTCGAACGATTTCTTTTCTAAGGCATTGTGTAATGTATAAGATGTAATTAAATGGAACGGAAACAAGATAGAGCCTTCTGCCAATGATTGCGATTGCACGGTAAGCCCGGTGCGGGTAGTCTGAGCACATTAAGTTAATATTGTTACTGTGCTCAGTTGATGTGGTATGCACTTGGATCATGCTCTAAATGTTACCACGAAAATTTCGACCAGCGAACTGACCCATAGACACAGTGAATTTCACACCGGATCTTCTCAGTGGGTCGCGATTCCGATCCGTTGCTAGATTCTGCGAAGCAGTGTTCTTACTAGGGCCACTGGTGCTAGCAACGTCGTCAGGTTTGAGCCCCGTGAGCTCACCTACTAATTCGGTGAATCTAGAATACTCTATCAGGTGGAGCCCGTGAGCTCACTTACATGTGCGCGCGTAGCTAGTCTCTCAGCGAATAGGTAACGCTAAATAACTGGCTTAAAATTGTCATACCAAAACAGGGTTTACTGGTGATAGGGGGTCTTATGATCCCGCATGGGTAGGGACCGTCTCTATATCTGCCACGGTTAACTACTACTAACTTCCGGCCCGTACAACCACTAACACTGGGTGTTGCGAGTATGTTCGCCTGTTCTGCATTAAAAGATATAGAAACTGTGCTTAATAGATTTATTAAAACAACTGTTCGCATGGGTGGGTGGCGCATTTACGTTGTGGATGTCTATGGGCTCCAGTAACCACTTAACACCAGGTGGGCTGTGAGCTCGTCCACCCATCTAAGCAATAAAAAAAAATGTTTCATTGTCAATAGTGGTCAATAAACCGATCTATCATGATTTTCTGACCTCTCATTTCACTTGAAAATGTAAATCTATAGTTTAAAGCATTCTCATAATAATGCCGTATCTAAGTTCTTTTTCTTTCCTAGTTCGCGGACTGCACTTGACAATGATAGATGTGTTAAGCTAGCCGCAATCTTCGGGCCGATAGACGAGAGCTGGAGCCCGGTGACAGACTCGATATTTTCAGTCGAAATATAAAATAAAAACACGAAAAATTCTCAACCAAAAAAGAAATCTATCAGTATCTTACGATAGCATATTAAAATTTGTCTAATGTTTAAGGTTTTAGTTTATTTTTTTTATTTTTTTTATTTTTTTTTATTTACTGACAATCACGCCACATTAACTGGTCCCGTGGTAAGTTCGTAAAGAGCTTGTGTTACAAGTACCAGATAACGGAAATAAATGTAAGATTTTGATTATACGCATACATATATTTAATATACATCCATAACCCTGGAAAAGACATTTTATATTATTCATACAAATATCTTCCCTTGGCGGGATTCGAACCCGCGACCACCTTGTGTAGTGACCATGTCACTTATCACTGCACCAGAAGGCCGTCTGATGATGATTTAAATGAAACATCCTGAAGGCAATAAAACCGTCAGTCGACAAATTAGGATTCAGCATATAAACGGCTCAGACTCGATTCATGAATGTTAGTTTTCCACTTGACTTTCATAAGACAAAGACGTCTTAGAGTAGACGATAGCGCCCACAGTATAACAAAATAATAGAAAGAAAATTCGAATTACCTATTAACAAAATGGCCGCGGTTTGGAGTTGTTTCTACTGTTACTGGTGGTAGGACCTCTTGTGAGTCCGCACGGGTAGGTACCACCACCCTGCTTAGATTTGCCGTGAAGCAGTGATGCGTTTCGGTTTAGGTACTTGAGACCTTAGAGCTTATATCACAAGGTGGGTGGCGCATTTACGTTGTAAATGTCTATGGGCTCCAATAACCACTTAACACCGTGGGCTGTGAGATCGTCTATCGATCTAAGTAAAAAAAAGAAAACACGCAAATCCAATCCATGCAATGGTCGACACTTGGCTTTTGTAGCAAATTTCTCTTGTGGAGTGCGTGGGGTTAGAATGTTTGTTGAAAATATTTGCATCGTCTGCATTTTACCATCGCACCACTCGCGACCTGAGTAGATTTCATTCATACTAGCTAAAAACATTCCGCTCATCCACAGTTCGTTTCCAGAGACCTTTTTTCCAAGTACCAATCGGCTGTTGAGGAAACTCCTCTCCACTGTGTTTCACGAGTGGTATGAGAGTTTGAGGAGATTCATAAGCAGCGTACTGCTGATGGGCTGTGCTCCTGGAAATACTAATATAAATGAGCACCGGTGACCATCGGATATGCTCATCTACTTACACAGCACACAAATTAAATCTGGGATCTCAAAATAAGTAGAAAAACTATACACCTTTCAAATTAATATTTTTATTTTGTAACATCATAAATTCTATTAATAAATATTTAATTAATAACAATTAATATAGGTAGTGAAAGCATCAACAGTATTCTATTAAAATTTGGCACGAGGAAAACATCACATACATAAATTCATTAATATCTGAATATTGTACTGGCAAGTTAATTTTGAGATTCGGTTTTCTTGAACCAATAAACACAGAATTATATACTCTCAATAACATTTTTTTTTTGCATTCAGCACGATCATTTCATTTTTAGTACTCAAATTATGGAACAGCAAAAAAAATGTCATATGAAATGAGAATTTGTGTATTTGTATTTATGCTTAATCTTATCTAAAATTTAAAGTTTACATATTATTTTAGAGATTTTTTTGGTTATAGTATATTATTAACGTACCTACCAGCAGATTGTATGGAATGGTTTTTTTTATTGCCGCTGTAGGCAGACGAACATACGGCCCACCTGATGGTGAGTGGTTACCGTCGTCCTTGGACTTCAGCAATACCAGGGGCAGAGCCAAGCCGCTGCCTACCGTTAAGTGCTCTCCACAAGTCTTGTTTGAAGAAGGACATGTCATAGCGCTCGGGAAAGACCGTGGAGGGGAGCTCATTCCATAGCCGGATGGTACGTGGCAAAAGAAGGAAACGCACTGTGGATGACCGCAGTGGCTCTAGGTAGTATGGATGAACTCTACTCCGGTGGCGGGCGGTGCGATGGTAAAAACGAGATGATGGTATCATCTCAAACAATTCCCCATAGTGGGGCATGGTTTTAACAAACGACTTATTTTTCACATATTTATTTAACCAGTATTCAAATGTATATTATGATTGACTTAAGCAAAGTTGCATCTTACATTACCTTAATATTAGAATACAAGAGTAGTTTTGTTACAAAAATAATAATGATTTTAATCAGAAAACTCAACCATCAGCACTTTGTAACTGAGGCGTCACAAAAGATACCTTCCTTCACATGTTTCATCATACATTTATGTACATTCTAGTAAATTATTTTATTTATAAACAAATTCACTCACACTTACTTGAACAAAATTACCATAAATAGATTTTTTTTTTTTTTGCTTAGATGGGTGGACGAGCTCACAGCCCACCTGGTGCTAAGTGGTTACTGGAGCCCATAGACATTTACAACGTAAATGCGCCACCCACCTTGAGATATAAGTTCTAAGATCTCAGTATCTCTCTACAACGGCTGCCCCACCCTTCAAACCGAAACGCATTACTGCTTCACGGCAGAAATAGGCAGGGAGGTGATACCTACCCGCGCGGACTCACAAGAGGTCCTACCACCAGTAATTTTGAAGCACAATTTCGTTTCATATTAATATAGTTAAGTAATAGTAAAATTTTGAAGTCGTCGTGGCCTAAAGGATAAGACGTCCGGTGCATTCATGTTGAAGCGATGCACCGGTGTTCGAATCCCGCAGGCGGGTACCAATTTTTCTAATGAAATATGTACTCAACAAATGTTCACGATTGACTTCCACGGTGAAGGAATAACATCGTGTAATAAAAATCAAACCCGCAAAATTATAATTTGCGTAATTACTGGTGGTAGGACCTCTTGTGAGTCCGCGCGGATAGGTACCACCGCCCTGCTTATTTCTGCCGTGAAGCAGTAATGCGTTTCGGTTTGAAGGGTGGGGTAGCCGTTGTAACTATACTGAGACTTTAGAACTTGTATCTCAAGGTGGGTGGCGCGTCTACGTTGTAGATGTCTATGGGCTCCAGTAACCACTTAACATCAGGTGGGCTGTGCGCTCGTCCACCCATCTAAGCAATAAAAAAAATAAAAATAAAAAAAATATATATAGTTTAGTTGGACGAATGGCTTTTAACCAGAAATATACATCTTACTTATTAATAATAAATCAACTAATTACTTTATCTTCTTAGGATTGTGAGCTGTTTGCTTGACTTCGCCGACGGCAACTGTTAGTTATAAAATATATTTTTATTGCCCCTGTAGGCAGACGTGCATACGGCCTATCTGATGGAGAGTGGTTACTGTCTAAAATTAAACTCTTAGATAGTTAATTAAGCACACGTTGGAGATAAATCGGAACGCATGCAAGCAATTCTGACAAAACACAAGCAGTGGAACCAACATGATTTCTTGCTATGCAATAGGACGGAATATATTTTCGACTTTTTTACCAATATTACATTATTATTTTCTTAAAAATTAAGACGATGTGTGTGTATAAGAATGTGTTTAAACTCTCTGTTCAAATAGATTCGGAAAATATGTATGTATATAAAAGTTTATTGCGACTTCCAGCGTTTTTAAGGCGTTCTTTTTATGTGAATACCGCGTCTTGCTCTTTGTTCAAGCTCTTAATAAAATAATGCGAAAATAAATATAATATGTCTGATTATTGAATGGAAAAACATGTCTCATTATTTTCGTATTTCTAAATGATTGAGAATACAATGGTTTTGTTATGAATACCTTATTGTGTAAGTACTCGAATTTGAATATGGTTTTAATGGGATGGTTCGTAAAATCAAACTACCCATTATTATCGTCCTTTAGTATTCGGTGGCTTTGGGAGGAGTCGGGTCTCTTTTTCTTTGTCCATTATTTGGATATTGAGCATCATTAAGCTAACAGATAGACCACGATTTGGATATGGGTTGTTCACTTTGGATTGCTTATTTATTTTTACTAGAGATCCCGCAGTAGTCGAAATTCGACTATAATTAATTGGAATTGTAAGTTTGTACACTATTATGTTTGTATTTTATACTTCTACAATCACAAATTTCGCCAAGACTACACTATAAAAAATATTAACAAAGACAAATAATATTTAATCTATTCTCAATTTGACAACAGACGTGAAGAAGAAAAGCTTGACAATAAATAGTATGCATGCGTGTGTGCGTCAAATACATGGTACGTAGTGTGTGTAATGTTTTCTTTATCGATTTAATGTATCTTTTATGCATTATTTTAAAAAAATATTAGCATTGTGCACTTCTTCTCTATATTCTCTATAAGTGTGGAAAATTTCATACTCCTCCGTCCGCGCAATTTTCGTAAAAAGGGATACAAAGTTTTTGCTTCACGTATTAATATATAGATTTCATTTAAAAGCGAGGGCTGAGTTTATTTCGCCTTGTTTTTATTTAGACTATCTTTAGAAATGTTGATAACTTCATTCGACACTCAAAACATATGTTACGATGACATTCACTTTGAAATAAATTATTTGAATTTGTTTTCAATCTACTTTACGCACAACACATTGCTATTTTTGCTATGCGGAGATAATATGGGTGAAACTTAAGTTGCATTGCTTCTTTCTGATAACCAATGTACAGTTCTGTCAAAATACATTAACACCTTGGCTGTGGCAAAATCGTAAACCTTCGTCTGGTGCGGCGGCGGATCGAATTGCGTCCCCAATGATATTGTCACCAATGTGTATAAGGAATTTCTCGATCCACCAGCACTAGGGTAGATTAAATTGCTAAACTTTGCGAAAAACATACGGTATACAATTTATAGTAGGTATATAATTGTCGGTTGTTAAATGTAACCAGAACCCCATGGCGCAAGACATTGCCCATCGGAAATGGCGTTGGATAGGACACACTCTACGCCGCAGCGGAGTCAACGCAGCATCAATCGCGTTTGAGTGGCAACCGCTTGGCAGGAGAAGCCCTGGTCGCCCTGTACACACTTGGCGATGCACCGTGGAGAGTGAGATGAGGACTGCCAACGCGACCTGGAGTGATGTCAAGGAGCAAGCGCAAGACAGGGTAAAATGGAGACCACTTGTGAGGGCCCTATGTACCAGCGGGGTACCCTAGGACTACAACAACAACAACAACAATTGTCGGTGTAGAACTCTTACAAACACCTAAAATAATGGGTCCGCACAGCGAGAGCGATATAGTTTTCTTCGTCCGCACTAGCTGAAAGTACCGCGGCGTTCTTCCGCAGTGATGGTGTTAATGTTATTTACATCTTGTTTCTAGTTTATAGCTCAAACTGTGTGTTGGATAGTCCTCCCATGAGGTGAACGGACGACTTGGTAAAGCTCGCAGGAATCCAGCGGATGCGGGTTATATTGGACCGATCATTGTTGCGAGGCTTGGCGGAGACCTATATCCGGCAGTACACGTTTGTGATGGTGTTAACAAATCGGATGTAGGTCCTCTGAGGTTTAAGCTGCGCTCAGTGCCAAAACCGTTGAGAAATCGTATTTAAATCATAAGTTGTTCGAAAATTGACCTGTTTCTTTAACTGAGCGTTTGGTGAGATCTTTTCATGATTTATATTTGGTATTCAGTATATTTCCAGTTCCAAGTTTTGTTGAGGCTGTAATCGTCAGGTTTTGGACTGATTTTATCTTTAGTTGGCGTCGACGGCTGCTGGAATGGAAATTATTACGACTGTCAATTATTACGACTGTTAGTTGTTGGACCATATACATGACAATAATCTTTTAGGAAATTATGCGTGATGACTGCTTCTAGTATTACGAAATACTTTGAAACACGAGATGGAAGTCTGAATAATAGTGAAAAGACCAGTGTCGACTTCTAGTTATTACCTTTCACCCTTGAAATAAGATGGTTACGGACAGACGTGAAACAAATATAACAATATGATACTTCCTTCTTCAAATGAGGTTTGAAGAGAGTTCTCAGTGGTAGGCAATGGTCCTGGCATTGCTGGAGTCTGACCGACATTGATTAAGTGGGTCATATTCTCGCTGCCTACAAAGACAATTGAGAAGTCGATAAATATGTGGATGACTTGAGGAAATGTAGTACTACCATTGTAGCTAGAAATAGACAGAGTTATGGAGTATTGGCTTTGGTATTGACCGTTCATCAGCTGAGTTTTGGGTCTATGTGATTAATTTGGTTTAGTCATGATGCTTTGACCAAATGACGACAGATAGTGCGCGGGTCGTTTGTATATATGAGTGTACTTAATCGATAGCCACAGAGAGGAGGCCGGCATTCAAAGCAATAACTTCCTAATCATGCTTTTTCAGTCTTACACCGTTTCCCTCCCTTGTGTTTCAAGAATTACAATTTTAAATTTGATAAGACACTTCCACGGACCGTCTTGAGTGATTTGAATATTTTTTGTTCTTGAATACTTTTTTAAGAGACTTTCCAGAGTTGTTAAAAAAAAAATTGTTTTGCCTTTATAGTAGTACCTTTTGCTTGGCATAAATCGCGTAATCGGTATCATGTAATATGTTTTGTATATTTATATTATTGAGATCATGATTGTATTTTTACTTTGTATTTTGTCTGAAAGTGGCACCTGTGACAGAGAAGTTGAAAAGTGCGCGTTTAGGATGGTATGGACATGTGACGAGACGAAATGACAATGAAGTTGGTAAAAGAGTTTAATGACCGATGAGCTATGAATGTGGAAGGCTTTAGAGGAAGAGGTGAACCTAAGATGAAATGGATGATTGCGTGAAAGACGATACGTGTAAGATGGGACTGAGCGAAGAAATGTTATATGATAGAGGAGCATGGAAGGAGAAAACATGTTGCATCGACCCCAGGTGACTGGGAGAAGGGTAGGAGAATGAAGATGTTTTTATTTTGTTTTGTTGGTCATCATCATCTGAAGCATTATATGCGCGGGCGGGCCTTGGACTGGTGGCTTCGTGGATTTATTTCTCCAAATTACCACGCCTAAATTCTTGGTGTCTTGTTCGACACTACTCAACCAGCTGAGCTTGGACCTGCCTCTAATCCTACGGTTCTCCAGGCGGCCTTCCAGAAGATGCCTCGTGGGCTTGCACCATTTGCCATGTCTATCGCAGGCGTCCGATATATATTAATGAGCCGATTACCACTAAGACCACACATTACATAGGTGGTTGTGCCGGATTATCGTCAATTTGGTATAGCTCATGGTTATGCAGCGTTAATTGCAGTATATATATTGTTGTAACAGAATCCCTTGGGGCTTTGGTCTGAACTATAACTTGAATGCGTATTTATGAACTATAACTTGAATACATTCTGAGATGGCCTGCTAGCCCATTGACCTACCTATAGAAAAAATATCCCAAGGGTAGAAGTGTCGAATTATATATATCCCCGCCTCTAAAAGCTAACAAGTAATCAGTAATGCATAGTGTCTTCGGGCTATCTCCTGGCGCAGGCTCCTGGCACTGCAGATTCAAAATGTATTTGAAGAAAAAAAAACATACCTCACTAAACAATATTATCGCTTCTTCGTGTGTTCCATTCAGTTTCTCCTTCGATGCATTCAGACCTTCAGACGAACTTCCCGCTAATTGAGATTGAGGCTAAAACAGACAAGTTAATCTTGTATTCGAAGTAGAACAAAGAATATAGGAACAAAAAAAAATACATGTGTGCAATTCACACGTGGTAGAACTGAAACCTTCCAAAATTAAAATACAATTATCCTAAACATCTTAAGTATATGTAAAATTTTGTCATTAGTAAATAATTGTAAGGTAGCGCGCTTTGTGAATTGATATTTTAATTTCACGTATAATCCTAAATTAAAATTCACTACAAGAGCTTTCATACACACGTTAGTATTAAAAAATCTCACAGATGGCGCTGTATTAAATAGTATGTATATTTCTGTCTCATTCTTTGCTGGCTTCATCCTACACATTTTTGTATTTGTGTCTCTTACCTGTCATTTTTTCCGTTGCATCCGGTTTGAAATTACAACGATTCTAAAGAAGTTTTCACTTCAAAAATAGGTCGGTAAAATTACTACCGCGATGATAGGGATTTCGTTGGTCTTAGTAAGAACCATATCTTCAACAAATGGAAATTAAAGCATACAGTGACAGAACGTACTTTCGTATCTAACTAACCTCAATATTGGTGTCAACGTGTAAAAAAAAACCGTTGTAAGAATGCAATTTTGAGAATTAAATTGCCTGGAACAACAATAAATTACATTATATCTATTTATGCATTATGATTCTCTGAATCCGTTTTTTTCCTACCTATGCTGATAGCCTTGAGATGATATTTCAGATTCGCCCTAGCGTGTAGGTGAGCTCTCGGGACTCAAGCCGGAGGTGTTGCTAACACTGGCCCTAGCGAGAGCAATGGTTCGTCGAATTTACCACTGGACCGGAAACTCTACCCACTGAGAAGATCCGGCAAGAAACTCAGTAGGCTGTGTCTATGGGTTAATTTACTCGTCGAGCCCTTTGTCGCAAGCGACGGGTTCGGCGAGTACGATGACCGATGCTTGAGGTACCTATAGGCATCGTTAATGGATCGGGAGGATCCGTAATGACGTGTTTACGGCTACGTCGACCTGAATCCGTGGCATTGATTTGTACTGCAGCTCGAATCAAGAAAACCGAATACAGGCCTATATTTATTTATTTTATTTATTTAATAGATTTTGTACACGCAGCTGCTAGAAGAAACACGACAATAAGGATACAGAGTACAAGGGCACTACTTATTTCATGTTGAAATATCTTCCGGTAGGCCCGCAGATGGTAAGAAGAATTAGGAACACAAACCAAGTGGTGCAAAAGGTGCACTTGGTAATGCCTATGTCAAACATACTCACAATATTCACAGCGTTTGACAGCTTTGTTCCTTCAGGCAATTTCTCTGGAACGGGATCTAGGTTCAAAGGTTCGTATTCGTCGGAAACCCCGCTGTCAGGGGAATCAGGAGTTTGCATCGCATTCACATAGCCCGTTCCAAGGCGGCTCTTGTGGATGCAGTAATCCCCCGTGAACGGGTTTTGGTAGGCAACCACGGTCCTGGTAGAGAAGGCACTGAACTGGTTAAAGGATTTTGCTTTTACCGTGGTCTAGAGGATAAGAAGTCTGGTGCACTTGTATCGACCGATGCGATTGTGCCGATGTTCGAATCCCGCAGGTAGGTACCAAATTTTGTAATGAAATACGGACTGAACTTAAGTGTAATAAAAATCGAACCTGCAAAAAGTTATGGTCAGTGGCGGTAGGGCGTCTTATGAGCCCGCACGGTTAGGTTACTTACTACCTTGTCGATGTCTGCCACAAAGCCGTAACAGGGTCCAATATGAAGGCTAGGACAGCCCTTGTAGAACTGAGACTAAGAACTTATGTATCAAAGTGGGTGGCGGCAATTACTTTGTTGACGTCCACGGGCTTCTGTATCCAGTTAACCCATATAGGTTGTTTCTCCTAACACAAGTTTATACTTTCTCAAATCGAGATTACAAATCTAGTTTGCAACTATTTTTAAGCGTAATGAAAATAAATTATTTGATTTTTTTTAATAGAAATTCGAATATTTCTTTGTGATCTCGTCCGCTCATCTAAAAGCAATAAACAAGTTAAGAATCCTGCTTTTTTTTTTACCTACCCATGTTGATAGCTTGGGAGGCTATATCAGCCTTATCCTAGCGTGTAGGTGAGCTCTCGGAGCTCAAACTGGAGGTGTTGCTAACACTGGCCCTAGCAAGAGCAGTGCTTTACTGAATCTACCACTGGGTCGGAAACGCGACCCACTCAGAAGATCCGACGAGAAACTTAGTGGGCTAAAAGGCTGCCGTGTCTACTTAGGTATTTATATATATTCACATTTCAATGCTCACATTTCAATAAACTCAACGCGTCTTACCTCAACTGTTCGCAAGAATCTCCCTCGCTTTTATGAGAGAAGAGGACCTTTGTTGGTCTTAGTAGAATCTCGACCTGGAAACGAATTAATTAGCAGTTCTTTTAGGATCCATTTCAGTTGATTTGCACTTCTGACATCCGACATAAGCACGTGTGATGCATAACGAAGGAACGAACTGGTATACAAATGTACTTAAACACGTTTAAATATATACATATACTAGCTGACCCGGCAAACGTTGTTTTGCCATATATAAGATTTCTAGGGAATTTCTAGTGTAGAAAAAAAAACTAATTTATTGTAAGTGTGTAAGGATGTGGTAAATGAGTGAAAGAGGCATGTAGCGCTGTGAACGTTGAGGGAATATAAAAATAACGAAACCTCATTCAACCACATAATGCTTCCTTATCTTTATATATAAAAATGAATTGCTGTTCGTTAGTCTCGATAAAATTCGAGAACGGTTAAACCGATTTGGCTAATTTTGGTCTTGAATTATTTGTAGAAGCCCAGAGAAGGATTAAAAGGTAGATAAATATGAAAATGCTCGGAATTAAATAAAAATCAATTTCAATCAATTCAAAACAATTTTCTTTTTCCTTTCATGTGTCTTTTGTTTGTTTTAAGCTTATTTTATACAAAGTTTAGGTCTTTTATTTATCGATTGAGACACTACAAAGTCTGCCGGGTCAACTAGTAACAAAAAAAATGTCCAAAAAATAAACGTTAGGAGTGGATAACTCTTATCACTTAGGGGTATGAAAAAATTATAGTAACCGATTCTCAGACCTATTGAACATGCAAATAAAACTTCATAAAAATCGGTCAAACCGTTTCAGAGGAGTATGGCAACTAACATTGTGACACGTGAATTTTATATATTAGATAGATAATAACACCCAGACAAATGGCAAACAAATCTGTTCGTCACACAATGTTTGTCCGATGCGATAATCGAACCCGCGACCCTCGACGCAAAAGTCAGGGCTGCTAACTACAACTCCACCGAGTCAGTCATATAAAAGCAATATCCAAATCATTACACTCACTTGCCCGTCGCGTTGTAGCCTATGAACCCTGTAGAAACAGTAACCGCAGGCAAATACTGTGAGGCATACCTAAAAATAATGATTAAATGAATAATAAGTTTAAAATTAAAAACAAAAAAAACACGCTTTTATCGAAAGTCCAATTAAAAAAATAGAAAATAAATTGATTGTAAAAAAAGAGTGAGGTGTATGTGTCAATAGTTATAAATATTTTATTGACGACGCTTGTAGCTGAAAGAAAGTATTGTACTTTTTGACGAAGCATGTTGCTGATAACTCTATTTCTGTAATCTGACGAAGCATGTTGCGGATAATAACATGTACTTTTAGGTTAGAAATATTATGTTTTTTTTTTCAAAATAAATAAAGTTTGAATAATAAGAAAAAAAAATATTGACAGATATGAGTAGAAAAATTATCATCTTGATAATATTTTGAGAAGCACGATTTCCTATTCAAGATTCTTTATATTAATACGTGAAGCAAAAACTTTGTATCCCTTTTTACGAAAATTGCGCGGACGGAGGAGTATGAAATTTTCCACACTTATAGAGAATATAGAAAAGAAGTTAAACAATGCTAATTTTTTTTTTTAAATAAGGCATAAAAGATACATTAAATCAATAAAGAAAACATTACACACACTACATACCATGTATTTGACGCACACACGCATGCATACTATTTATTGTCAAACTTTTGTTCTTGACGTCTGTTGTCAAATTGAAAATAGATTAAATATTGTTTGTCTTTGTTAGTATTTTTTATAATGTAGTCTTGGCGAAATTTGTGATTATAGAAGTATAAAATACAATCATAATAGTGTACAAACTTACAATTCCAATTAATTATAGTCGAATTTCGACTACTGCGGGTCCTCTAGTTCCTATAAAAGCGTGTTTTTTTAGATTTTTTTAACTATTATTTATTTTTCTATTTTTCGGTTAAGTAGTATTATTTATAAATGTGAGTAGTAATCATTCATGTACATTCAAGCAAATACAACAGTTTCCAATTTGCTAAGTAAAAAAAAGAAGGCGCTTAAAGGAATTTGTTGTTTTGACTGCCAAAAGCAAAAAAACGGGTCTAACTGTTTAATATATGGAATTGTCATCGGTCCTCGACAAGTACGCCAAATTTCGAGTTAATGCGACGTTTTGAAGGAGGTCAAAATCATGTTCAAAGATTCCGTTACATACCAACAATACGTATGAAGCTAATAATAGCGTAATAAAAAGCACTAAATTTCATGTTACGTATACGAATATTTATATTTCGATTTAGTTGGGAATACATCAAAATCAGCGGCTCACGAAGTATCCGGCTCAAATGACACCATCTCCCTACAGAATCTACAAATCGTTTCAATGTTGCCACACCTGTGTGACATATTAGGGAATTTTGTCTGTAATTTAATAAAGATTTATCTCAACACTTAATACTTTTTTATTTTATTTTTATTGCCTAGAATGGTGGACGAGCTCACAATCCACCTGGTGTTAGGTGGTTACCGGAGCCCAAAGACATCTACAACGTAAATGCGCCACCCACCTTGAGATATAAGTTCTAAGATCTCAAGTACAAGTAGTTACAACGGTCCCGCCCTTCAATCCGGAACGCATTACTGCTTCACGGCAGAAACAGGCAGGGTGGTGGTACTACCCGTGTGGACTCACAAGACGTCCTACTAGTAATAACGCAAATTATAATTTTGCGGGTTTGATTTTTATTACACGATGTTATTTCTTCACCGTGGAAGTAAATCGTGAACATTTATTTTGTTAAGTACGTATTTTGTTAGAATAATTGGTACCCGCCTGTGGGATTCGAACACCGTTGCACCGCTGGATACGAATGCACCGGACGTCTTATCCTTTAGGCCACGACGACTTCAACAACAGAGACTTAGTACAATGCCTGCCCTACCCTTCAAACAGGATTGTATTACTGCATCGCGCACAAGTAAGCAATTTATGTACAGTATACATATATAATTGCAATAGGGCTCGCCCACCCTGCCAATCGATTGTAAATGGCGATATTAAAAGGCAAGTGAAGACCTACTTGTATAAAAAAATATTTCATTTTATTAAGAAACTGACTTAGATTTCCTTATGCTACTGCACCTACTAATCATGGCCTGTAGCTAGGTGCGTCAGGCTAGGCCATGTTTGAAAGTACCACAAACATGAATCGGTGGTTTTCAGGGTGTGATACCATAGAATCCCACGACCACATAACGTCAGATGGGAGGTCCAATCTAATAAAAGAACTACATCGTTTAGCTCATGGTTTTGTGAATCCCAAAGCGCTTTTTTTCTGTCTCTTCTTAGTCTCTGTCTTTTAAGATATAGGTATTAACGTTTTGAGGGAAATATTTCAATTTCAAAACCATGCGATTTTGTCTTTGACGTAATTGCTGAATTTATAATAATCTTTGTTATGGTAGATAATAAACTTAGCTTGTATTTAACATACGGAGAGGTCTAGGTTGATGTTGATTATAAAACTATGTGTCGTTTCCAATCAGTCCACTTATAGACGACTTTAATATATTTCACGTTGCCACGTACCATCCGGCTATGAAATGAGCTCCCCTCCACGGTGTTTCCCGAGCGCTATGACATGTCCTTCTTCAAACGAGGCTTGTGGAGAGTATTAAGCGGTAGGCAGCGGCTTGGCTCTACCCCTGGCATTGCTGAAGTCCATGGACGACGGTAACCGCTCACCATCAGGTGGGCCGTATGCTCGTCTGCCGACAAAGGCAATAAAAAAAATTATATATCACTATTAACAATAAAGTATTGATATTTAGTAGTATTTCGACGCAGACTTACCAAGATAACCAAAAGTATAATGTCTATGTAGATTATTATCATTGTATCGGAATTACACTTCGATGCACTTCACACGCGTACACTTGTTTCCCATTTTAATGAATCATTGCAATTATCCCATAAACGTTGTTCAAACAACACGAGAGAACATTTCATAGCACGTCACGCTTTTGAGTTTTTTTCACGGGAAACTCGAAAATTTGAAACTATTGGTCGTATTGCACAGCTCAGGAAAACTGATTGGTCGATTTGTACATCCGATTTCTGTCATTGGCTGATATTTTGTGCGTTACACAGGAGACCAATCGAAAACTGTGGGGATAGAGGGTGATTTTTCCCGCAGACTCTCTGTCACAGATTAATGCAAACTCTGTCTGTTTAAATGCCTATGTTGAATTCTCTTCTGGTCAACTATTTCTTGTTTTTTTATTTCTGATAGCAATCATTTATATCCTACTATCTTTTTACGTAATTTCCAGTATTGTTGCTAGTAAAATATTTTACGTACCTACTTATAATAATATGAATAAATATTTTTTTCAATAGCCAATTTTCGTATTCTATCTAATCAATCGTTTTTCTAATTGGACATATTTTGATTCATTGATCGCAACCACTAACTAATCTAAAGGGCTATTCCAACTACACACGGATTGGTAGGTAGCTTATGATGCTCCATCTGAGAGATGCTAACACTAGCCCTAGCAAGAGCAGTGCTTCGCTGAGCCTAGCACTTGATTGGAATCGTCACCCACTGAGAAGATCCGGCGAGAAACTTAATGGGTTGTGTCTATGGGCTAATTTACACGTCAAAATCTTCAACGACTTCGATGACGCCTGGACATGGTACTCCGAAAGCATCGAGAGTGGATCCTGAGGATTCAATAAGATTAATGAATTTTAAGCAATAAACAAAATGCTTGCAAGCAATTATAAGCTTGATAAGCTGATGTTGATAGCTGTATCCCCTTTTTTTCTCGTATTTGCGCATAGAAAAAATATCCAATAATTTGGTAAATGGGATGTGAAACTAACAATTTTCTACTGTATTACCCAATGACCCTTCTGTTCATTCGTCATAATCTTTGTCCAGCTCCATGAGTTGGCGCCACGGCTGTCGCGACGTCTGTCGCCTTTCGTATCATCACGACCTATATACTCGGGCAGCGCATAGAGGGTTTGCTGGTTCAATAGGAACATAATGAAACTAATCATCAAGAAACCTTCATATGAAAATTCAAGAATCATTTAAATAGTTCCGCAATTCGCGGGCCCGTAATCTAACTCGAACTAATATTAGTAAATTAACAAAGGATCGACGCATCATTTTATTTATTTGGGGCTCGAAGGAACAACATTTGTTTTGATGTGCAATTTGGGACACCCGTTATATGATATAATTGAGATTTTTACCTTATTTGAAGGTGCGTGAAGGCATTGATTTTGTAACGTCTATGAGATTCGATGACCACTGGTCGCTGGCGCTGGTCGGAATATATACGCTCTAGCCTCAAAACCTCAGTCCACGTTACCATTCACGCAGCTGAGGATTGACTGAGCTGGCGCAAGATAGTCCAAGAGAAAGTTATTCAGAGAGGCTACGACCCTCTCAGCATTGAGGATTATTGACGCAAGGAAGAGGAGAACTAATCTTTGATTAATGTTTGACCGCGCGACAGATGCAGTGGGGAATTAAAACGAATTTCCAAATACATAATATAAACTTTTATAAAATGGACTTAAAAATAACCGTGTGTAGTTTTTACAGTACTACCATGAAGTCAACACTTCCAGATTAAAATATTTAGATAATTCATATAAAGAAATTTTATCTTTAAAAGTTTTACGTAATTTTAGTTCTATGTATAAGAAACTTAGAAAGTTAAATAAGTTTTATCGGTAGACAAGCTTACGGTCCACCTGGTCACTGATCACTTATGGACATGAGATCCAAGTATCAAGTTTTTGGTATTAGGTTTTTTTTAGCAGCGTGGCTATACCTACCCATTCTAGTCACAATGCGCGCCAGTCTTTTAGTATAGGTATAAGGTATAAGTCGATTCGGTAGAAGGATTGGTGACCGTCGTTCTACCAAGCAACGAGATTCGTCCGTGGAAGTTTCTCTGTAGTAGAAAATGATCACAGTAAGCTATACTATACTATATTATTCGTTTGCTGCTCACCAAAACAATGATTATTTCCTTTGCAAAATCAGCAGCGGTTCTCAAAAATTTGCATTCCTAATAAAACATTTGGCGCCATTTTTTTTTCGTACAATCACGGCAGCCATTTTGTTATTCTTATCGTGAACCATTTTTTTTTTCATTTAAATTTGCTTTTTGCGGTCGAAAATAATGAGGGTGCGGAGGTGTGGCGATAACTTTGACAATAACTCGGGCCTGTGACGTTAAGCCTCAGGAATACTGTGTTTATCTATGGAGACCGAGAATACTATTTACCTTACGAATAATTATGAAAGTAACTACAGTCAAACCTGGATAAGCGAGAGTTCAAGGGAGCAGAAACTCATTCTCGCTTATAGAGGTTTCTCACTAACCCGAGTTTCTCGCTAATGCTCCCTCTGAATTTCATTTCGCGATTTTCCGGATTCAAACGCATTCACTATTTTAAGTTTATCACTTAATGACAGTACTTTAATTTTCCGTTTTGACATGATGCAGAACAGAACTTTCCTTCGCAATTGATTAACGATAAACTGAGTAAGGNCACCTGGTGTTAAGTGGTTACTGGAGCCCATAGACATCCACAACGTAAATGCGCCACCCACCTTGAGATATAAGTTCTAAGGTCTCAGTATAGTTACAACGGCTGCCCCACCCTTCAAACCGAAACGCATTACTGCTTCACGGCAGAAATAGGCAGGGCGGTGGTACCTATCCGCGCGGACTCACAAGAGGTCCTACCACCAGTAATAAAATCTTTGTTATGGTAGATAATAAACTTAGCTTGTACTTAACACGGAGAGGTCTAGATTGAATTGATTATAAAACTATGTGTCGCTTCAAATCAGTCCACTTATAGACGACTTTAATGTATTTCACGTTGCCACGTACCATCCGGCTATGGAATGAGCTCCCCTCCACGGTGTTTCCCGAGCGCTATGTCATGTCCTTCTTCAAACCAGGCTTGTGGAGAGTATTAAGCGGTAGGCAGCGGCTTGGCTCTGCCCCCGGCATTGCTGAAGTCCATGGGCGACGGTAACCACTCACCATCAGGTGGGCCGTATGCTCGTGTGCCTACAAAGGCAATAAAAAAAATCACTATTAACAATAAAGTATTGATATTTAGTAGTATTTCGATGTAGACTTACCAAAATAACCAAAAGTATAATGTCTATGTAGATTATTATCATTGTATCGGAATTACACTTCGATGCACTTCACACGCGTACACTTGTTTCCCATTTTAATGAATCATTGCAATTATCCCATAAACGTTGTTCAAACAACACGAGAGAACATTTCATAGCACGTCACGCTTTTGAGTTTTTTTCACGGGAAACTCGAAAATTTGAAACCATTGGTCGTATTGCACAGCTCAGGAAAACTGATTGGTCGATTTGTACATCCGATTTCTGTCATTGGCTGATATTTTGTGCGTTACACAGGAGACCAATCGAAAACTGTGGGGATAGAGGGTGATTTTTCCGGCACTCTCTGTCACAGATTAGTGAAAAGTACGTCTGTTTAAATGCCTATGTTGAATTCTCTTCTGGTCAACTATTTCTCGTTTTTTAATTTCCAATAGCAAATCTTTTATATCCTCTTATCTTTTTACGTAATTTCCAGTATTGTTGCTAGTAAAATATTTTACGTACCTACTTATAATTATATGAATAACTATTTTTTTCAATGGCCAACTTTCCTATTCTATCTAATCAATAGTTTTTCTAATTGGACATATTTTGATTCATTGATCGCAACCACTAACTAATCTAAAGGGCTATTCCAACTACACACGGATTGGTAGGTAGCTTATGATGCTCCATCTGAGAGATGCTAACACTAGCCCTAGCAAGAGCAGTGCTTCGCTGAGCCTAGCACTTGATTGGAATCGTCACCCACTGAGAAGATCCGGCGAGAAACTTAATGGGTTGTGTCTATGGGCTAATTTACACGTCAAAATCTTCAACGACTTCGATGACGCCTGGACATGGTACTCCGAAAGCATCGAGAGTGGATCCTGAGGATTCAATAAGATTAATTAATTTTAAGCAATAAACAAAATGCTTGCAAGCAATTATAAGCTTGATAAGCTGATTTTGATGGTTGTATCCCCTTTTTTTCTCGTATTTGCGCATAGAAAAAATATCCAATAATTTGGTAAATGGGATGTGAAACTAACAATTTTCTACTGTATTACCCAATGACCCTTCTGTTCATTCGTCATAATCTTTGTCCAGCTCCATGAGTTGGCGCCACGGCTGTCGCGACGTCTGTCGCCTTTCGTATCATCACGACCTATATACTCGGGCAGCGCATAGAGAGTTCGCTGGTTCAATAGGAACATAATGAAACTAATCACCAAGAAACCTTCGTATGAAAATTCAAGATTTATTTAAATAGTTCCGTGATTCGCGGGCCTGTAATCTAACTCGAACTAATATTAGTAAATTAACAAAGGATTGACGCATCATATTATTTATTAGGGGCTCGAAGGAACAACATTTGTTTTGATGTGCAATTAGGGGCACCCGTTATATGATATAATTGAGATTTTTACCTTATTTGAAGGTGCGTGAAGGCATTGATTTTGTAACGTCTATGAGATTCGATGACCACTGGTCGCTGGCGCTGGTCGGAATATATACGCTCTAGCCTCAAAACCTCAGTCCACGTTACCATTCACGCAGCTGAGGATTGACTGAGCTGGCGCAAGATAGTCCAAGAGAAAGTTATTCAGAGAGGCCACGACCCTCTCAGCATTGAGGATTATTGACGCAAGGAAGAGGAGAACTAATCTGTGATTAATGTTTGACCGCGTGACAGATGCAGTGGGGAATTAAAATGAATTTCCAAATA